AAAAAAAAAAAAAGGCATTTTCTCTACCCTCAATAGACTACCAGAGACTAGACTAATACTAATACAGACATAGATGAACAGATTTGCAAATTATCACATAAAAACAGTAAGATAACCCTAACCCGCACATACACACAAACAAACTAGTGCACACAAACATACACATGGAATGTAAATCTTAGAATATGGAATAAGCATATAGCTGAAACACCTAAGTACAGAAATCTCTAAACTGAACTAGCATTTAGGTTTTTTAGTTTTCTAACAGGTGACTTCTACTGCTTAGCTTAGGTCAATTAGCCTAGCAAATTACAGAATATATTTTGGAAAATACTGCGAGGTTTTGTAGAAGATTAAAATTCTCTTCAGATTAAATAAGCATGGATGCTTTCTACTTACACATAAGAAGATTAACTAGAATAAAACATAACTAAATAAACATTCTGGTAGCGTACTCCTTTGCCAACTCTGTACAACTGCGGTGACTGTCAAGTCCATTTGTTTTCCAAATACTTCCCAGCTCTTCCTTATATACAATGGAAGTCCTACTTCAATTTAAATCTATTTCTTCATGTTTAATCCTCTTGGGAGATACAGAACATGAATGAGAGGACGTATGGTCATCATTACTCTTCACATAAAGCAGGAACTCACTCAACCAGGTTAAGATATTTTAACATCATTACCTTTCCCTCACAAATGTTTTTTATCTTGTTAATCATTTTCTCAAACTCTTATTCAACGTTCCATATACATTTTTTTTTAATGCAGAGATCAAAAGCAGACAGAGGATACAAAGGAATCATTCTCTTGCTTTTTACATATCAATCTCCAGAAGCTTAAAAAAAAAAAATCAACTTTCAGTAACCTGAAGCTTCTAAAACAGAAAACTATACAGTTTATACTTATAGAGTTTACAAGGATCCCTGGTAGCATAACAAGTTACATGTTAGGCTGTCACCCACAAGTTCAGCAATTCTAACCCACCATCTGCTCTGCAGAGGAAAATGATTTACAGTCTTGGAAACCCTATAGAGAGTCACTATGAATCAGAAGTGACTAAATGACAGTAGGCTTGGGGCGTTATTTTTATTGGGGTGTTGTTTTCTGGAGTTTATCATTATGATTCCCTGATCTTTTCTTTTGCCATTGTTATACCTAAGATGACCTCCTTTATTTTATAACTTTTCTTTTTCTCCACGGATTTTTTTCCCCACTGTTGACAGGCCATTCTCTTTTAAATTTATTTCTGTCAATAAGATGTGAACTTGTAAACTGCAAATGCCAAAATATAAACCACTTTAAAATTAATAATGATAGTAAATAGTAACAGAGAACAAAGTCCTATGAGTCATCACTCAGTACCACTTTCCAAGGAGTTAGTGCTAAGCTCCTCACAAATACTTCTCCCTGCTGCAATCCTGCAATCTACTGGTAACAATGGAAAATCCTGCAATCTACTGGTAGCGATGGAAAATCATAAACATGACTTTATCTTCATAGCTGTAATGATAGGCAAAAACCAAGACTCTCAAAATGAAAGAAAAAGCAAAAAAGAGGGGACGGAGGGAAGAAGAGAAATCCTGGAAATGCTGTATTTACAGTTTTTTTTCTTGTGAGAGAAAGATGAGGCTTTCTGCTCCCATGGAGATTTACACCTCACACACCCTATACAGATTGTCACTATGAGTCAGCACACCACCACCACCACCACCACAGCTTATCTTAATGTCAAATACAAACACACGCACACATACAACAGGCTTCAAAAAGCTAGTGGAAAATTGTATTAAAAGATTATGGAATTTTTCCAGAAACTTTTTGAAGCCCCCTCATATAAACATAGAGACAAACACAACTCTCACAGCCTCAGGGACTTGCTTTCTTGGAAATAGGTGCTAATGAATTCCTAAATGTGTAACTCACTACATAAATTGTAAAATTAAAAACCTCTCTTTTCACATGTAATAAACTTAAACAGCGTAGTACTAATGAGAATTAGAAAGTACTAAAAGAGGATTTCATTTTTAAATGTTCACTTTTCTTCTAAGAAATCACCTGCAAACAAGAGGAAGCAGAAATGCACATTCTATCTTTGATGAAACTAGAAGACCCCTGTGTCTCTCAGTAAAAATATCAGAGAAAGGGCTACCTATTCTAGTGTGGACTTCATTTCTCTTAAACGTCTTTTCTGAGGCCTACCAGTTATGTTTTACCTTCTTATATGGAGTCCTCATGTGGTGCTGCAGTATAATGCATTGGACTGTGAGGTTGGTTTGAACTGTAAAGCCAGCAGTTCAAACTCACCAGCCACTCCTTAGAAACCCTTTTGTTGTTGTGAAGTGCCATCGAGTCAATTCTGACCCATAGCGACCCTGTATAGCATTTCCAAGGAGCAGCTGGTGAGCTTGAACCACCGACCTTGCAGTTCAAACGGCTTTGCAATCTGGTGCATTAACCCACAGCGCCACACCAGGGTTGCTATGAGTTGGAACCAACTCAAAGCTACTTAACAACATCAACAATTCCTTTCATTAATTCTTTCATCTCTGTTTTGAGCTCATTAAGCATTTGATAATAAATAATTTGAGTCCATGGCATTCTATTTGAACAACTTTTATGCAGACTTTGGAAAAATTAACCTAATACTCAATTTCTTTTCCTGTAAAATGAGAATGTTGTTGTTGTTGTTAAGTGCCGTTGAATCAGTTCTGATCCATAACGATCCTGTATAGGGTTTCCTAGGAGTGGCTGGTGAGCTTGAATCACCAACCTCGTGGTTCCAACTGACTTTGCAGTCCAGCACATTAACCCACAGAGCCATACCAGGAATGTTGTTGTTGTTAAGTGCTGTCGAGTTGGTTCTGACCCATAGCGACTCTGCATAGGGTTTCCAAGGAACAACTGGTAAACTTGAACCACCAACCTTGCAGTTCAAGCGACTTTGCAGTCCAGCATATTAACCCACAGCGCCACACCAGTATTCCATTCCAGGAATAGCAACACTTATTTCATAGGGTTGCTGTATGAAATAAAAGACATAACACATATAAAGACCTTGGATTTAAGAAGGCCTAAATCAATGGTGAAGAAGCCTTGGTAGTGTGGTGGATTACAAATTGCGCTGCTAACTGCAAGGTCAGCAGTTAAGAGTCTACCAGCCACTCAACGGGAGAAAGGTATCTGCTCCCAAAAAGATTTACAGCCTCGGAAACCCTATACAGGGACACTAGGAGTTGGAATCGACTACATGGCACACAACTACTATCTCCATGGAGTCTTGATGTGGGATAAGCACTGAACTGCTAACCATAAGGATGGCAGTTTAAACCAATCAGCTGATACTGGGAAATCCTACATAGGGTCGCTATGAGTCAGAACCAACTACACAGCACACAACCACCATCACCACCAAATAAATGGTAGAGTCCTGGAGTGACACTGTAGAATAAGCACTGGACTGCTTACCACAAGATCAACAGATCAAGTCTACCAGGTACTCATCTAAGAAACCTGTACAGTCACTATGAGTTGGGATCCACTTGATGACACTTAACAAAAACAACAATTAATAAACGGTAGCTGTTATTATTATGAAGGAGCCCTGGTGGTGCTGTAGGATTAGCCACTGCACTAACTGCAAGGTTCTGAGTTCAAAGACACTAGCCTCTCCTGTTCGTCAGGAGAAACGTGAGGCTATCTGTTTCCATAAAGATTTATAGGCTCAGAAATCCTATATAGTCAATATGGTAATACTCCTAAACACTGGTATGTTTGGATAGTTTGTAATATTGTTTTGTTCTAATAATCATATTTTGTATATAACAAGAAAGAACATTCTTTTATGAAAGTCAGCACTAAGAATAAGATTTCTCCCTACATTACACCTTATAAATATCCAATAATAGTACTTTTAACACAAGAAATAACACTATAATCAAACAGTCCCAAATTAGAACCCAAGCATTGCCTTTTTTTGATAACCAGACTTTGGAAAAATTAAGTCAGAATTGACTTGATGACTGGATTTTGTTATTGTTAATATGAGTGATACTAATAGTCAATAAAATTCCAAAAATTAATTGACCCAACAAACAAATGTTGGTTGCCATTGAGTGCTAGCTAGGTGGCAGGAACTGTCCTTACACCAAATGGATTTTAAAGAACAGGTTACACAAGACAAGCATAAATACGGTAAGGAGTATAATGTAGCAAAGATATGTAAGAATTTTAAAGATTAAAAAAGTTAACAAAAAGATCACTTCTAGTCTGAAAAAATTAGAAGGCTTCACGCAAAAGGAAGGATTTGATCTAGACCATGAAGTAAGATTTTTAAAGTATTAGCTGAAGATGGCAGGAAAGAGATGGAAAGAGAAGAAATATATAAAAAATAAAATAACAAAAGGAACACATGTTTTGAGAATGTAAGTTAATGAATAAAAACAGCAAGTTATTTGCAGTAATCTAGTTTGGATATACCACAGGAATTACATAAGCAAATAGGAAAAAGGGGACAATACAGGGAAGGCCATAAAACTCCAGCTAAGGGATCTGGCCTTGATATAGTCATCACTGAAGAACTGCTACGAAAAGAAATTACATGGTCAGAAACTTTTCTTATCTAAGAATCATGAAGTAAATAAAGTAAACAGGAGAAATGATCATGAACCATGTCTTACTTTGGGCCAGCTGACATCACTGGACAGCTCTCCTCTGTACAGAAATCTGTGATGGTTCCGTAAAGCATGTTGATCTGATTGAAGAAATCCACCGCTGCAAAGAAGGCATGTTATTAGTTAAACTTATCAGAATGGTTCAAGTAACAGTTAAATTTTACTCAAGCATAATTTTGGGTGTATCAGTATTCTTTTCTCAACAAAGAGCAGGGATACCAAACACAGAGATTCATAGTATTGAGCTATATAGAAATGAGGAGTTTCTCTTTAGCAAAAGTTACCACTGTTGTTGTTGTTATGTGCCGTGGAGGGAGTTGGTTCCAACTCACAGCAACCCTGCACAGGGTTTCCGAGGCTGTAAATCTTTACGAGAGCAGAAAGCCTCATCTTTCTCGTGTGGAACAGCTGGTAGTTTCTCGTGCAGAACTGCTGACCGTGAGATTAGCAGCCTGATTCGTAACGACTACACTACCAGAGCTCCATAAAGTTCCCATTGTTGTTGTTGTTAGGTGCCATCGAGTCTATACCAACTCATAGTGACCTTATGCACAGCAGAATGAAACACTACCGGATCCTGGGCCAACCTCACTAATGTTGCCACATTTGAGCCCGTTGATGCTGCCACTTTGCCAATCCATCTCACTGGGGGTCTTCCTCTTTTTCTCTGACTCTCCACTTTACCAAACATGACATCCTTCTCCAGCGACTGGACCCTCCTGACAATATGTCCAAAGTATGAGAGACGAAGTTTGGCCATCCTGGCCTCCAAGGAACACTCTGGCTGTACTTCTTCCAACACAGGTCTGTTTGTTCTTTAGGCACTTTCAATATTCTCCCAACACCCTAACTTAAAAGTATCAGTTCTTCTACAGTCTTCCTTATTCACTGTCCAGCTTTCATACGCATATGAGGTTATTGAAAATATCACGGCTTGGGTCAGGCGCACCTTAGTCAAGCTGACATCTTTGCTCTTCAACACTTTAAAAAGGTTTTGTGCCTAATGCAATATGTTGTTTGATTTCTTGACTGCTGCTTCCATGAGTGTTGATAGTTGATCCCAGAAGAATGAAGCCCTTGACAATTTCATTCTTTTCTCCGTTGATAAAAATCCTCCAGTGGTGAGGATTTTTGTTTTCTTTACACTGAGATGCAATCCATACCGAAGACTGTGCTCTCTGATCTTCATCAGTAAGTACCATTGTTGTTGTTGTTAATTGCTGTTGAGTCGGTTCCAACCCATAGTGACCCTGTATAGGGTTTCCGAGGAGTGACTGGTGAGTTTGAACCATCCACTTTGCAGTTCAAATGGCTTCGCAGTCTGGCGCATTAACCCACAGTGCCACACCAGGACTCCAGTAAATACCGTTGCTGTTGTTGCTGCTAAGTGCCGTCGAGTCGATTCCAACCGATAGCGACCCTGTATATGGTTCCGACCCATAGCGACCCTGTATAGGGTTTTCAAGGAGCAGCTGGTGAGCTTGAACCACTCACCTTACAGTTCAAATGACTGCAGTCTGACGCATTAGTCCACAGCGCCACACCAGTACTCCATGAGGAGAGTAAAATGAAAGTCAAGGAGTAGAATAAATTATTTGCAACACACGTAGCCAACAAAAACTAGGACCCCTGGTGGCCCGGTGCTTAAACCCAGTTGCTAACTGAAAGGCTGGAAATGTGAACCCATTCTGCAGCTCTGCGGGAAAAAGATTTACTGATCTGTTCCCATATAGATTACAGCCAAGAAGCCCTAATGGGGCAGTTCTACTCTGTTGCATGGTGTCACTATAAGTCAGAATTAACAAAAAGACAAGCCAGAAGAAAAATATGAGACTATCTTGAACTGGCACATCGCAAAAGAGATTTCAAGACTGTCAAAAAGTATATTGAAAACAAGCTAAACCTCATAGCAATCACGAAAATTGCAAATTAAAGTATCAGTGGAATATCATTCCATAGCTATTAAAATTGCTAAAATTTACTAGAAGATACAAATGGCCAAGAATATCCAAGACACTCTTAGAATAAGGTCAAAGTATTATATATCAAGACTTATAAGCTTCAGTGAATAAAAAGATTGTTCTTAGTAGACCAATGGAACAGAATAGACACCAGAAACAGATGCAAGCAGAGATGAAAACTTGGTTTTTAAAAAAGGTTTCATCTCTGCTTGCAATTGTTTCTGGTAACAAGTCATTGCTACAGAACATTGGTGACAGGATAGTCTTTCAATACACAATGTTGAGTCCGTTGGTTGTATTAAAAAAAGACAAAACAATTTGACTCTTCATTCTCATACATAAAAGTCGATTTCAGGTAGCTTGTACACCTAAATGTGAAAGGCTATTTCTAGAAGATAGTACTTAGGAAAATATTTTCATGGCCTGTGAAATGAATATACAGGTATGTGTCACTTAAGTCCAAGGGCCCATGAGGTTTGGTTTTGTTTTATAAACGGAAAGTAGCTCTACTTTTGTTTCTTATTTCTGCCTAATGGTATTAAAAACCTCATACCAGAGTCTTGAAACAGAGCCAGGGATGCAGGCAAGTGCAGTCAAGAAGATGGATCTGGGGACTATTTGGGGTCCAATTCCTAAAAGCATGCTTTCCAACCGTGCAGACCC